TYCYTYYTKSSGKTYMMCCKWAAMMWTYMAWTTWMMARSMAAWKKTTKTTTTTCCTTGAAGCGCGCGAGCAGCTCGTCCTAATGGCTTCTCATCAAGACCCTGCGATAGTAGCGATAGTCAGTTAATGAAAATAATCAACCGTAATGAAGACTAATAAGACACGCGTCATTACATGATGTAAACTGAGAATGTTTTCAATGAGTTAGATTACAAAAGAGCAATTATGATTTCCTGAGATTTTCCGATTACTATCACCATTGTATATAGAATTGGTATTTATAGCCTTGCCCCTCATATGATTATTTGTAGTTCTTACGTATGCCATTAATGGTTTATCGTATATCGCCCAGATACGGGAACTGATCAGCCGTCCAAATTCTTCGTTAAGGATTGAATAATCATGCTTGGTTTTGAACGGTAAGATCAAATTGAAGACTCAGTGAATTGAAGGTAGACTCGCATAAAGTGAATCTCCCTCTAAAAGAACGATACTTTCAGAATCTCAGAATCAAAAACAAGTGTCCGTTTTACAGAGATGTCCATGTTCTAAAGGTTTTTTTACAGATAATGTATGGGAAAAGGGCAGCGACCAAACGTTAATGCCCGTCTTAGGAGAAGTGTCTATCTTATAGAGGGAGTCGTTTACTGTAAAAGCGAGAATAASAAGCAAGCATTTTTATATGTAAACGACCACTCTTGGTTCGTACGTGCAAAGTTGATTATGTAAAACAATATGATAGTGCTAATGAAGTACAATTTGTAACCATTTGAATGCTTGTTGTGATATAATTAATAATCGTTATTATTATCAGTTACTATCATCGTCATCATATTTTTAATAAACACACCAAGATCTTTACATCGTGACTTAGTACTAATGTCAACCATCCATGATGCGATAAGCACCTACGGCCTCTCAATAGTCATCTCGACAGAGTTCAGCGGTCTTTTTCGACTGAATGTCATCCAGTGATATCGGAATCATGCATTTTCCAAATGAGACGTTTTTCTTCATCAACTCATTTGTCTTAATTTCCCTTTTTTCGCTATGTTTAGAGTACTTGATCGTATTTGTTGYCTTTTTGCTTTTGCGCACTTTTAAACGTTCGATCATAGAATACTTGCTTTTTTTCAGTTTTATACGTGTTTAGAATATTTTATCCCATGAGTGTTTTCATTTGCGCAGTTTAGAACTTTTGATCTTAGTATTCTAATTTTTTTCAGTTATTTTATGTGCTTAGAATGTTTGATCGTAGTCGATACTTCCTTTTGTGCGTTTTAGAACGTTTGATCTTAGAATTTCTTATTTTATTGAGTTCTATGTTAAGAATGTTTGATCGCATTGTATATTTCCTTTTTCCGTATTAGAACGTTTAATCTTCTTCTTTTCAATTCTTCACGTTTAGAATTGAATATTCCTTTTGCGCTTAGAATACTTGATCGTATTCCAAATTCTATCGTGTGTATTTCACAGAAGAATATGTGATCGTATTCCGGCTTTCTTTCTCTTATGTCAGTAACATCACTAAAAGCCGCATCGTCGGTTTGTTAACAGCCTATTTCATCTAGACAACCCACTGATTTGATTTCACTTGAATATTGATGGTTGCTAGRTCTCCTCAGCTCTTCTGTTTGTCCGCTCGCTTGTCTCAAGCCATCAATCAAATTAGACTTTGTGAAGAATGGACGGGACAATAAGTGCATTTGCAGGCAGCCTATTAGTGGTTTATTTGCTGATAGAACTCGAAAATCCATCACGGAAATGAAACAAGATTAGRAAGACTTGTTGTCTACYGTGAAAGCGCACGTGCGAGGGGTTCTGGGATTGTATTCCTCGCCGCGTTATTCATGGACGCGGGCTTTTTGGAGCAGAAAAACAGGTGAAGTTTTGGAGTTGAGTTCGGTTCCGACTACCGCGAAAGCCTCTTGAGAAATACTTCGGAACGAAAACAGTTTTTTAAGTGACTTTTAATATTCCACAACTCTCACTTTCAAATTATCGATTAAGCCGCATCATAAAGCCTTGGAGGGATTATTTGAGCCACGAAGATATTTCCACCTAGAGGGGATTTTCCTTTATGAAGTCGYGTCCGACTCTCAATTTCACAGTAAATTTTCTGTAATGAGCGTAAAAGAAGAAGTATAATTTCTCTCACCGAAAATAATTAATAAAGGTCGTAATTTTAAACGCGAGGCTCGTTTTGATTCCAATAAATCAAGCGATTGTCAAACGAATATTGCGTTTGTATGTATCTCGAAAACAAGTTATAATCATCCGTGATATATCAAAAATCAGCTCATAAAAATCTGGTATCTTCATTAGACAACCTAGAATGTAGTAAATATACACAGTTTGAGAAATATCTGTTGAAAATTAGTAGAGATGCAGCCTTCAAAGTCAACAAATGTGACGCYGAAGAAATGTGTCAGCGAGCTCATAATGAGTCAGCTTCGTACTTTTTTTTGTATGTTTAATTTGCAAAGCTGTATCTTGTAAATTTTTGATCAGGTTGGCTCTCAAACGGCTCGCTTATTGTAGAATGCTCTTTTTTCGTGGTAATAACATATTTTTTTGACTTGATTTTGAATTTTGGATATAACTGGAAAATAGGCTATATGGACCTTTTTGTCGTTATTCTAGTCCCTAACATTATTTAAAGTCTTAATCATAAAGCTACCGTTAAAARATATCGATTATTGAATGCCATGACGATTTGATGTCTTTCATACTGGTGATTAGTCTTAGAAATTGAAACCTTCATTTCTCAGTTGGTATAAATCAATCTCTACATGCACCCCATGACATAGACAGAAAAATTCAACTACTTTGTAACGCTGTGAAAACATCCGTACGTGGCTGAAATCAGTCTGGGAAGTGTTTCTGGCAATTTGGTGTTTTTTTTCTTCTAGTGACTTGAGGTGAAAACGAGCGATGTCTGACGTCATATGACAGGTGTCCTATAGCTCAAAGCTGTTAAGTAGCTTCTCTGGGTTTAGATCCACAGCCGTTGATCTATCCGGCAAGATTTKCTCTCCTCACGGGAATTCTCTTTCCTTGGCATCGTGCTTGTYCTTAAACGCTTTGAAGGAAAACTTCCACCTTTGAAGTAAGTTTGAAATCACTTWAAAAGAGTTATATGATTTAAGATATTGTTTTTTTTAAGAACAAAAAAACAGACTTTCAAATCCATATATCATTGATCAATTATTTTCGCGCAAATAACAAACATCTTAAAGCTCAAGACTTCAGCTGAAATGCCTTTTCAGTGAATGGATTTTCGCACAAAAAGATTGAATAGAGCGATGCGTGAGATGTCTTTTATTTAATTATTTATTCATCTGAAAAAGGGATTTATAATTACCGATAGTGGTGACACATTGAGTTGATTATTTGTCAAAAATGAAATATTCCTTCAACCGCTTGCTGTGCTCGTTACAGTACAGGAAGACCTCGTACTGTTTGAAGTATTTCAAAATAGTTCTCGGCTAATATTCTAAATAGTTCCCTCCAACGCAAGCGAGAACTAAAACTCGCCGCCGCGCGTGCTGTARAAATCCGTCATTGAGCTCCTTGCTTSWGWGTCTTCACRGAGAGCTAATATCRCACATTGATTGTAATTACTAGGACGCATCAAWGAAACAATCTTTAATCTAAGTTCATCTTAACATATTTGTAAGATAAAGGCTTTGATATAGTGACAAGGAGTTGCAACTCTTTAAACCATGAAATAATGTTGGCGATCTCTTGACGTAATTCACTTGAGCTACTTCACAAGTGTTGTCATTAGTTAGTGAATTATCGTGCTTTTGACCACAATTCACAGAACTACTTGTGTATTGTTTATGCTTATAGCATGCTATAGGTCTCTTAGATTCAGAAATAGCGAGCACTCGTAAATGTAATTAAGTCTACTGAGAGCTCTATCGTCTAAACTCATATCTGAAGTCCAGTTCGTGCTGTTTTCAWGCTCCACGAGTTATGAACATTTAGGAACTTTACGAAAAATATTTTTTTTGGAAAAACTATTATTATAAATCTCAATCTGAAAACGGCTGATTATATTTTTTATTTGAATAAGAAGAGGCTTGGCTCATTTTCTATCATGCCCCAAGAACGAKTTTGATTGAATTCAAYGTCTTCAACAAGTGCGGCMTGTTCACTATTCTATAACTCTACCAGAACTTTATAACTGAAATAAGAGAATTCGTTTTATCGTATAAATCTAGTAAGTAAAATGTGCTACTTTGGATCTAAACAAAAAAGGGAAAAAAATCAGTCTTCTCTGACGTAAACAATGCTATTCAAACATGAAATGCTGTTATCAAACTGACTCAATTGGGCATGCTTACTCTAGGCTCTTGTATATTAGCTCAATTGAAATTAACTGTCAATGTAAGATTAAGATATCTTGTATATTTACCATTAGGGACCCTTGGTTTTAGACCACCCCACCCCACCCCACCCCACCCCCTTAATTCAACACTTTGATATCAATCAAACGATGTATTTCTAAATCTCTAGAACTGAGAATTATCAAAGGTTCGTATTGGTCTTTCAGCTAATACCATACATATGAATAAGCATTTAGATTTATCAATTTATAAACTATGTAATATCAACTATACGTATTCAATCGATCAGACCCGATGGACGTGACCCCTAGAGCTTAAAAAWACACATACACACAAAAGATAGATCAACTTAAAAGCTTAAATAATGAGTTTTTTTKGTATATCCAAGAACATAAGGAATGATGCAGTGACTGCTGCTACTKTTAATAAGGAAATGGATAGATAGTGCGATAAAATAAAATGCTATACGTCACAGAATGATTTACAAATGGAAGTTTAAAATATTCGTCGACAAAATGATAGAAATAAACGGAGAATAAATTTTATGATACGAAAAAGAAGGGAACTGAGAAAGAGAAAATGATTTCTTGCTTCTTTTTGCGCTTTTCTGCGTGACCTTTTTCACCACGCGGTGCATGTCAGTTATAGATTCAGCAAATCAAATTCGCTGTTAAAATAAGCGTCAAAACGGTGCCTTAAAAACGGCTACGCAAAAGCAGTAACTAGAGGTGAAGGCTTCACTTCCGAGTTCTGACTCGGAAWTTACCATGGAGTGGTAAAAATTTCGATCAAAACCCACGAAATTACTTTATTTTGTAACTACAGAGTGGAARGATTACGTTCTGGCGTCGAAAAGCTGCGGTCTTTTCGAGTATAAAATCTTATACGTAGATTCATTATGTACCAAATGCATTAATGTATGTAAGTTATCAAAATGACAGGGCTGTTTTGACGCTCAATTGCAATCACTTTTAGAGAGCTTTAGGGGATGGACTTTGTTAATTAATGTTTTTATATAAGCTTTTGTYTGTGATTGTTTTAACAAAACGATTGGGCGTTCTGAACATTGATATCGTGGTCTTTTTCATGGCATTGATAGATTACAATTTTAATGGTCGGGATCTTTTGCATAAATATATACCATTTAAAGATTAATATTGCTTTGTGCGTTGGTGTTTTGGCATTCTTTTAGAATATTTAAATCCCATACAGAACTCCTGAACCTGATCTGAGAGCAATATAAATTAATAATTGATCGAAATTTGATGATRATAATAGTAATAATATAATGCATAATTGTAATTACAGCATCATTATTTTAAAAACAATCATACTAACTTTATAAGAGACAATTTTCGGTTATAAAATAATTTCTATTTACATGAATATTCCACATTAATGTTATATACTCTTTCAGATTTAATGTCCTAATTTTGAAATGATGTTAATGTTTAAAGTATTAACTACGTGACGATATTTTCAATTCAAATGCTAACATTCTTACATCAGTAACAATTTAGGTGGTAGATACAGTCACCCGGTTTGAAATATTCTACATTATGGCTACTTTTGCTCGTCGCTTTTCTCGCTAAATACAATTGGAAATAGATCAAATTCTTTTGCACTATTSTTATCTAGAATAGTTATAATATATATTCTCTGCAGTTCAAATGTAAAATGTTATGACTTTGCGTGTAAAATTCAGTTGACATCTCTCTAATATATAAACTCAATATTTTGTTASGGAACAAATTAAACAGAGTTACAAGGCTATTTTTTTTTCTTTTCTTTTTGAGTATATACATAATTTTTTCTTATTATTATAGCACAAATTGTAGCAGAAATTGTGAAAGTGACTGTATTGCATACATGTTTATCTCGGCCGTTGCGTCATGTGCAATCCCAAGTCAATTTTCTCTCTTTTCTCGTTAAATACGAAAACACATCAATCAGACTCGTTGTAATTACGTTTACTTAGGGTCACTCATTGATATATTTACAACATAACTGTTAGTGGTCAAAATTCTATCAAATTGGACTATGTTTTATTTGTTTTCATAATGCTGGACAGGATTAAACCCAATACGTGMAGTCTTTAACACACAGTCACGCAAAGAAACTTTATTTTAAGGAAAACTAGTTTCGTCCCACATTAGACCTTTTCAATTTTTTGTTTTGTTTTTGTATTATTATACATATTTTAACATGTAATGATATGGATATTTCAGTGATACGACATTGGTGTGAAAAAGAGTAACTTTGAGGTACAAGAAGAGATCAATAGCTTCTGATGTAAAACAATCGCAATGAAAAAGATAAATAAATATCAAAGGATAGGAAACTTAAAGASGTTGTTCGTCCATCTTCCTAGAAAAAGAGAGCTCTTTTCACGGWGCTTTTAATTGTCGTTTTAATGCAACCCCTGTATAATATCACAAATCTCGCTTTTAATAGAGTTATAAGTCGGTTTCTACGCCTAAAGTCGCTCAAAATCGCCTAAAATCACCTTGAGCTTTGGCTATTGCTAATGCAATATTCGCTAAAATCGCCTAAGATCGCACTAAGTCGCTGCGAAAAGTTACAGTGAGTTTGGCTTCCGAAGCAGGAGACCTTATAGCTACGGCGAAATATCGTGCCCTGATAAGGAGTCGCCGTCGAATATCAAAATTGAACGCAGTAACACAGATAAAGCAAAAATAAGACAAATAWAAAGGTAGACACTAGATGAATAGACTGATAAATGATGAATAAAAAATGAGAATAACTTTTTATTTGGATATGTAAGTATATGTAAATACAACGTTTTCCCAAAAAAAAATTTGTGAAAGTCAACAATATTTTTATAATCGGATTTGCACAATACCAATATTTTGAAAATTGCTGGTATTTTTGTAAATACAGGATATCAGCGAAAATATACTTTTCATCTAAAAATAAACTGTTAATAGCGATTTTTAACCACTTTTTCAGTGGAAATGAAATCTTTAATCCGCGAAATAATATTAAACCGCTTTGTACTATTTTAAGCAATTTAGTAAACAGTTTTCATAAAAAAACAACGCTAATTCAAAGAATGTTCTCGTTCAGTTGGGGATTAAGTACAAATTTAATGTGATATTTCGAGTTTGTACAACGGATTAACTACGTTTACTCTACCCACAATGCAATTTTACATAGWTATACCGCTGACCAAGATATTGTTTGTTTTACGTAAATTTTGCCTAATGTAAAGAGTTAGATAGGTAAATAGATAATAAATACGTATAAATTGCATGAATGTGTCGATCTAGATGTGGAGGTTTAGATACAGTCAATTATATTAACGTTGTTTGACTTGTAATGACATAGAGCCGGTTTACAATATAACATAAGCAGAAACCGAAGCAGAAGCTTGTTCACACTTGACAGAAGCATGTTCTTCTGCTTATGATGTCCCGGTTCACACTCATAATCTTTCAACAGAAGCAGAMACAGAAGCAGAAAAAAATGAAAGTTTTGCTTCTGTTTTTCCCGGTTCACACATACAAAATACACTTATTCTTGTTCTGATTATGTCGCAGTGTGAACCAGCCCATAGATGCAACAAAAAATTCATTTGCATAAAAAAGATTTTCAAAATCAGTCCCAGGAAGAATTTTAATTATAAACTTTAGATAAATAGCGAATTTTAATTCGCTAAAAAAAATCCATTTAACATTTAAAAATGTTATTGACATTACAAAAGAAGTCTTTGGAGATATTTTTGAATATGATT